AAAAAAAAAAAAAAAAAGAAGAAATACACATGGGGAAGCACCCAATAAACAGTAGGTGCTTGTTTTTGTTTGTTTGTTTTTTTATTAAGAGACAGTGGCCACTGGGCAAGAGCTACCTAAATGCCTCATAGAGGTTAATTCAACAGACAACGTACCGCAGTGGCCCAAACCTTTCCCTCAAGCTCACACATGGAAAACCAGCCATGATAGGCCCTCAAATCCTGTTTGGGGTGTCTGAGAATGCTTGCCTGCAGATGTGCTAGTGTCAATGACTTATCACTAAGGAGGGGCAAAGGTCAGAGAGACAGAGAGAGACAGAACCACTTAGGGGTTCAGGATTCAGATATAGCAAAGTTCATTCTGTTAGGCTGCTCTCAGGGTAAGACCCAAATCTAAGAATGGAGGTCAGCGCTGCAAAAGGAGAGAAGACTTCAGTTTTGTCTTCTCCCTTCCATAAGTTAAAATGCCCATAAAACAGTAACTTTGTGGAAAATCACACTCTCGCTCCCAAAGAGCTCTCCTCCCCTAAGCCAGGCTCCTTAGTGATTCATGCCCTGAGCTACACATTAGACTAGTGAGGCCCTCAGGTGCCCTCCAACTCTATGATTCTTTGGTCTTACTCCACCTTGAAGAGGGCTGATTTAGAGTTGGAGGAAAAGAAAAAGCCGGCAGGATGGACACATCTTCAGCCTTAGAAGACCAAGGCACAGCTCTACATGCATAATGACAAGGGCACCATAGTGCAGGCGCCTGGTTTCCCACAATGGAAAAGCACTGTCTCATTGATTTTACCTTCAACAGCATCTGGTATTTTATAAGTCTCTGGCTTGGTCCTTTAAGATACTTAAAAAGAGGGAGATTGTGATCCAGTTGGCGCTGGCATACCTTTAAAAGCCAAAGAGAAACAACATAAAACAAACAATACACACAGAATAAAAGTGGCAGCAATTAGGTACAAAACACAGAATTGCTTTTCCTGGACAATAGGGGCAGCTCTGTCGAGCAGCTCCATAAGGCTGTGGGGTTGTTCTGTCCCCTAGGAACAGTGCGTGAAATAAGAGAAAGAGGAAAGAGGACGGTTTGGCTAAGATTTTTACAGGCATCTAGGGAAGCAGAACCATTTATTTTTTTTAGAAAGCAAGTTCACTAGAAAACAGTGGGGCATTTCAAGTCCTTCTGAAAAGAAGGCTGCCTGTCTTCAAGCTGGGGGCCGCCAGAGTCTATTCAGGCCATCTGGAGCCTGAAGGATACAGATGGTTTGTAGATACATTCCAGGTAGCCCAAAGTGTGATATTTTTGACTTAGTTTCATTTAAAAAACCCATCCTAGAAGAAGACACTGGTTTTCTCACCAGATATAGGTGCTCCTCACAGGCCTATCCCATAGAGACCAAAGGCTGTGTCGAAACTTTTCATGTGTAATTTCAAAGTATGGGACACTTTAAGTAAACATAAATCCCAATGTCTAATTCCTCTCCCTAGTCCCACTTTTGATTTCTTTAACAACTTGATGCATAGAAACATTTTCCAGGAACAATCTGTGGGAGACTCTGTCTTCTCAACATTACCCCAAAGTAGGCGCAGTCTTGACACTCTTGCCAGATTGCCCTAGCTCGGGGCAGATTCTTATGGTATTTAAAATATATCTGAAGATCTTCTTTCTAGGTGGGAAAAAATTAGAACAAATTAATCAGGTAGCATTTTGCAGTAAGTGGACAGGATAACACAGTTTATTCATTCATTCAACAAGCCAGAGTACTCTAATGTGTAAGGAATTGGGGGTGCACAGTAAGTAATCTTATGTTGGGATGCGTGTGTGATGGAGAGAGAAACAGAAGGCTATAAACAACCATAACTACTGGACATAGATGGGCACAGAGTGCTCTGGGAACATCTACAAGGGCTATTGGTAAATACATAAGTAGACTCACAAACAGGAATTGGTTTTTATCTTTATCATTCTTTTCCTGCCCTTTGTCCAGGACATCGACATCTCCCCACAACAGGTCTGCAATGAGTAGTAAAACTGACAGAAAAGAGGCTGGTGGTTGATGGCCCCCTCTTTTCTCTCCCCACCCGTTCCTTGTGGTCATCGTGACACCAACCCTACAAAGAAGCCCAAGAAACAACCAAAAGATGGAAACATGCCAGAGGGGAGATGTGGTAGATTGGGCAACCAATATGGATCTCAGTGATTTGGGCAACCCTCAAAGTGACAGGCTCTGCCTCAAACATCACTTTCAACCTGCAGCACAAGACTCTGAGACAGGAAATGTTATGTGACTGTTTCGGAACTGGAGAGCAAGGAGGACTCAACGTGCTGCTCCACCTGTATTCTCACGGTATCAAAGACGCTGAGAGGTAGGCACACATCTGCCAATATCCCAGAGAGAAAGCACACTTCAAGCCTCTGGAGTCAGCCTGCCAGCTTCACTTGCTCTACCAGGGAGCCTGGCCCACAGCGGCTGTGCTGGCCACAGATCCCATGCCACTCTGGTGGAGAAGCCCATGCAGCCACCTCCTTGCTGAAGTCTGTGTCCCTGTCCTGCTCAGCCCAACTCTGGATTTCCATCATGCCAACACAGATGATTTCTTCTGTAGCAGCTTCAATGATGCCTGTTCGACTCCCAAATACATTGCTATAGTGAATGACTTCCATTTCTATAGCTCTTGCTTTGTCCCAAGAGGTTGTAAGTGGTCACTTTAGCATAAGAACTACAGCAACCGTCCTTTGCTATTCCCTCCAGGAAAAAAATGACACACACACTTAAGACAGATGGCCCTTGAAAAATGTTCAGACCGGTTAAGGAGCTAGAACAGTAACTCAGAGCTTAACACCTATGATGAGGTGACATGGAAAGCCATACGGGGCCACCAAAGGGCTCTGAGCATTGAAGATTCCTTCTCTCCATTAATGTCAAATATCTTGAAACCTGGGGGCTTTGTTTGCTTCCAGTTATCATAAGTATTGCTCTCAGCCTCAGTCATAATATGAGTTGCTTACAACTTTAAGTTGTTTGATCTGTTGCCTTGGGTTCACAAAAAGAAAAATAAGAAAGAGAATGAGAAGGACTAGTTGAGAAAGAGAGGAGAAATGAGAACCATTTAGAAGGCACGGGGCGTCAGGATCATCTCTATGGTCGCGTCCTAGAAAGCACTTGGTGGGGAATGGTGTTGGGTGAAACATTTCTCTGTGGCAGCTCCCACTGGCCCAGACAGCCTATTTGTTGCCTAAAACAGGATGGAGAAACAGGGAAAGAAGGAGGAAGTATGGGAGGTGGGAAGAAGGGGTAGTTGGAGGTATGTTGTAGGCCAAGACATTCACAAATTGAGCACTAAGCCTAAAAGAGGTTGTAGATTTAAAATTTTCTAATCATCCTCTATGTTGTAAAAAATAGAATGGAAATAAAATGTATTTTCTGAGATTTTTAGTTTAACACCAATGCTTCTCCTCTTGAGAGCATTAATACAGCTTTATTGTGGGACTCTAACCTCACTGTATGATTCTTGTTTTAAAACATAGTTGAGTCATTCAGAAGAGTAACCTCTGCTTTGGGGACAATGGATGGCCAGCCTTCCATTTCATGGGGCTATGCAGGAAGCCAGGCTTGCAGTTACTCCCGCATATCAGTGTGAGCTCAGTCAAATTGTACTCATTCTCACCTTGGATAAAGTCAAATAAAGTTGGGAGGCCAACTCATGTTTTCCATTCAAAGGGCAGATACAAGATATACTGTCTTGGCAAATTTCAAGTATACAGTGCAGTATTATTCCATGATAGTCGCCATGCTGTGCATTACATCTCCAGAACTTGCTCATCTCATAACTGCAAGTTTGTACCCTGTGACTAACATCTCCCTACTTCCTTTAGACTTCAGCCCCTGGAAACCACCCTTCTACTTCAATGATATAAAATCAACTTTTTAAGATTTTATATATATATATATGTATTATATATATACATACACACACACAATGGTAATGAATGTATTCATTAACTTGATTGTGGTAATCATTTCACAGGGTGTAAGTATATCAAACCATCAAGTTGTATAGTTTGAATATATGTGATTTTTATTTGCCAATTATATTTCAGTAAAGCTTGGAGTGGGGGGGAAGCAGATATGTTTTTAGACCATTGGTGTTTCCATTTGTCCTTACCTCTTAATACAGAAAAGTAAGGCCTGACTTTAACATGGTTATTTACTGGGAGCACAGACTTACTCTCTTGAGAAAGCAATGTGCCAGAAGTTCAGGGTTCTCAGCACACTTTTCCAACTCTTTTAGAAAAGTCCTGGAAAAACAAAAGTATACAAGTAAGAATGTTTTGATTTTTACATGCAGATAATTATCTTTTTAAGTACAATCACATAAGGTTTTAAGAGGTGCCTACAAAAATGTTCTCCAGGCCTTCTTGCTCTTACCTTGTCTTCTACACATTGATTCAGAAAAAAAAAGCTGTATTCTGAGGCATTACTACAATTACCCTGAAATCACTCACAACTTTAATTTGTTTGATCTGTTGCCTTAGGTTCACAAAAAGAAAACTAAGAAAGAGAATGAGAAGGACTAGTTGAGAAAGAGAGGAGAAACGACAACTACTTAGAAGGCACAGCGGGTCAGGATCATCTCAAATTATCAGAACACAGCTGTTCTGGTAATTCTAAGCACTAGTCATAGACAGACTGGATACACTCACTGATGCTCCCTGTTACATGAAAAAAACGTTCATAAGAACTGTTGCTGCTGCTGTTGCTATTACTAATATCATTGAGAGCTTACTATAAGCCAGGCATAAGCTAAGTGCTCCTCAAATAATATCTCATTTAATCCTCAACCAAACCCTGCAAGATAGGGTTTCTTAATATAAAACCTGGGGCTCAAAGACGCTACATAACTTCTCTGGGGAAATTAGCGGAAGTGGGTTTCCATTTTAATTTTGTGTCTGACCAATGGACGAGGGATGGGGTTAGGAAACAACTGTGGTTCAATTCACCAAGCAGCTTTTCTCCCTCTGTGAATTAGGTGTGCAATCTTGGGGTCATCATAGCAAATAAAGAGAGTCAACATGTTACCATTCCCACATGTGTAACATGAAAGGGTTTGAAGATGATTTCCAAAGTCCCTTATTCCTGCAGTTCTCTAGAACTCAGTATCTAAGCAGCCCTGGGTTAAAAGTACAACTTGTTTGAGCAGTCAGCATTTTCTAACAGCCTAGTTCCCAGCATCCCCTTATGATAATGGTATGTAGATGTGTATCTTGGTCATCTTTGTATTCTCAATGCTGAGCACAGCGCCTGGCATAGAACAGGTACTCAAAAAATGCTGATGCATAAATAAATAAACAAAGGAACACTCAACTGCATACAATATGGATGTCTGACACCAGGTGCATGCTCCTTTGATGCCTCTTCCCTTCCTCCCCAGGGATCCTGTGGGGCTTCTCCTCCCCTTTCACTCCAACCCACCCCAATCCAATCCACTGACTCCAAACCACTAGCTTAAACCTGAAAACATCTAAGCATTTTCATCCCCCAGTTCCATCAGTCTCATTTCCACCCTTCTCTTACTCTCCATTCTTTCTGATAACATGAATTATTATATACCTGTTGTGAAATTCGTAAAGTTCGCTAATATTCCCAAAGAGAAAGTCCTTGTTATTCTGAAGAACATCTGGAATTAGATGCTTTAGCCAGATAAAATCCATTGGAGTGATATATCCCTGCAGAGGTGGAAACAAGGTAGGTGTTACAAACAGGAACATACCAGAGATCATCTGAATTAGCTACTCCAAAAACCAAAACTTTAGTGAAATAATTGAAGAATATAACACACTTGTTTCTTGAAAGCTATTGTATCGAGTACTTTCTTTTGATATCATTTTCCTCATGTGCCCACTTTCAGAAGGAGATGGCTTAATGGCAATGATAATAAAATGGCATTTTTGTGGGAAGAGCAAATACATTTAAAAATGTTTGTGTTACACAGGTTTAATGTAAAAGAAGGGAAAATGTACCCATTGTTTTGTGACCTGATACAATTGCTATGACTATTATGATTATTATTATTTTTGAGACGACGTTTTGCTCTTCTTGCCCAGGCTGGAGGGCAATGGCGTGGTCTCGGCTCACTGCAACCTCCATCTCCCGTGTTCAAGTGATTCTCCTGTTTCAGACTCCCAAGTAGCTGGAATTACAGGCATGTACCACCACATATGGCTAATTTTTGTATTTTCAGTAGAGACGGGGTTTCACCATGTTGGCCAGGCTGGTCTCGAACTTCTGATCTCAGGCGATCCACCTGCCTCGGCCTCCCAAAGTGTTGGGATTACAGGTGTGAGCCACTGCGCCCAGCCCAATAATAATTGTTTAATATCTGAATAATGTTTATTCAGCATATATATCATAATTTACTAAACATTCCCTTTTTATTGGACATTTGGGTTGCTTCTAATATTTTATTGTAAAAATGTGGTTATAAATAATTGTGTACATATAATTTTTTCCTTAAGACTATTCCCTTAGGAAAATAGGGGAAACATGCATTTTTACTCTTAAGAAAAAAGGCTACTTAAAAAAAACAAGAAATAATCTTCCCTTATTAAAGTATCAGGAACACTTATAATATCCTTTGTAGGCAAGAAGATGGTAAACCTATTTGGGCATTGCTGGAATCAGTGTGAACTGGCATAATTCTTTGGAAACTGTTTGGCTACACGGATCAAGAAACCACAGGAATGCTCTTATTCCTACTGGAGACACTTGTAATATTTTAAGACCTGAGATCTTGGTGGGAATTCTGGAGACTTATGGCAACTATTTTGAGTCTTTTTGTACAACAAAATGTCTGCAGTTTGAATATATGCTTGATACCCACTCCCCAAATCTACTTACATCAATTATGCTTTTAATCTCTTTTATATAAATCTCTTCAGTCTCAAGCAAGTCATGTATAATGCGCCTGAATCGCAGCAGCAGGTGGGAGGGTGAAAGAGAGAGAGACAGGGAGGGGAGAGTGTTCTTTTAGAATTCTGTTAGAATAATGCTCATCAATACAGTTTCCCTTTAGTGGCTCACCTACTTAGTTTCTGGTCAGTTCATTCTGTTCTATTGAACACCCAAGGTCAGCATCTCACAAACGCATACTGTGATCACACTGGTATCAAGAAGAAACAGCAAGGTTAGAGAACTCAAAATCCTTTAGGCAGCCAGTGAATGACTTGTCCTCTGGGTGGGCCATACAGTGTGGGGGTCAAGAAGGGAGATGTTGGAGTCAGAAATACCAGGTTTGGATCCTTAGTCAAGGAAGGTCTGCCTGACCCTGTCCCCACCCCCTACATTGTATACGTTGTATAAGTGGTTTCCTAAATTTTCTCTCCAGCTTTCTGCTCACATCAAGATTTTTTTCCTTTTAAGAGATAGGGTCTTGCCCTGTTGCCCAGTACAGTGAGTACAGTGGTATGATCATGGCTCACTGTAGCCTCAAACTGCTGGGCTCCAACAACCCTTCCACCTCAGCCTCCCAAGTAGCTAGGGCTACAGATGTGCACCACTATGCCCAGCTAATGCCTTTTTTTTTTTTTTGGTAGAGATGAGGTCTTGCTATGTTACCCAGGCTGGTCTCAAACTACTACTTTCAAGCAATCCTCCTGCCTTGGCTTCCCAAACTGCTGAGACTATAGGTGTGAGACAGTGTGCGAGGCCCTCACATCCAGATCTTTGACCCATATGGATGTATTTTGTTGTACATGGCATTAGATGGATGCTAGCTCCTTCCTCTGGCATTGGATGTTTCACCATGATTTCCTAAGGCAAAAGGTATGAGTTCTGTCTGCTTCTGTCAAGGAAGGCAGGTGGAACATGTGGTGGGCAGAATTAAAGACGGTCCCCAAGACTTCTGGCCCCACTGCACATACACCTCTTCCAATCAAACACTAATTTAGGGGCTGCTGTGGAAGGCTTTTACGGTTCATTTGATAGGTAATCCACTTGGGCTTGTCCTAATCACATGAACTCAGTTTTGGGTCTAGAGGTCAGAGATTGGAAGCACAAAAAGGATTCAACACAAAGGAGATTCTCCTTTGCTGACTTTTGAGATGGAGGGGGCCAGATGGAATGGAATGTGGGCAGCCATAGGAACTGAGAGTGGCTCCCAGCTGACAGGCAGCAAGGAAGGGAAATCAGTCCTATAGTTGCAAGGAACCAAGTCCTGCCACAACCACATGAACTTAGAAGAGGATCCAGAGCTCCACGTGAAAACACAGCCAACACCTTGACTTTAGCCTTGTGGGACTCCTGTCCCAGGGAAACTGTGAGTCTCCTAAGTTTGTGGTCAGTTTTTATAAGCAATAGAAAACCAGTAGAAAGAGTGAGGCCAGTCCCCACATCTATCCCAGACAGACTTTCTTTCTCTCCTTAGGCTACGTGGCCATATTTATTATTTCTTTTAGGGGTCCAAGTAGATGAGTGTTTATACATGTGTCCTTGTGTAGAATATATGTATTTATTCCTGTGAACTACTGATGGATTATCTATTAAATGGCAGCCTCTCCTATAAAATGATTTGTTTTTCTCTCATAAAAATGAATGTGGCAAGACACAAATGATCCAAAAGAAAAAAATGGGAAAGGACACAAAATAGGAGATGCACACAAATATTCAAATGGCTATTAGGCTTGTGGAAAAAATACTCAGTACATACATTCAATAAAGGCATATCTTAAAAAAGCAACAATTTTCATCTATTAGAATATTAAACATTTCAAACCTCAAAGAAAGACTGGTAAATGAGGGTGTGGAAAAACCCTCAGACAATATTGGTAAAATGTATAAATTTGTGCAAACTCTTTGGAAGGTAATTTGGAAACATCTCATGGAAATGTAAAACACGTGCTCCTTGGTTCAGTAATTTCACTTCTAGGAATATTCATTGTTTGCAATTAGGACAATATAACTTCAACAACAACCAGATATAAACTGGTTACTTAAATGCTCATCAAAAAATTATGGTACGTAGGCCGGGCATGGTGGTTCACACCTGTAATCCCAGCACTCTGGGAGGCCGAGGCAGGTGGATTACTTGAGGCCAGGAATTCGAGACCAGCCTGCCCAACATGGTGAAACCCTGTCTCTACTAAAAATACAAAAAATTAGATGAGTGTGGTGGTGCATGCTTGTAATCCCAGCTACTTGGGAGGATGAAGCAGGATAATCACTTGAACCCAGGAGGTGGAGACTACAGTGAGCCAAGATCACACCATTGTGCTCCAGTCTGGGCAACAAGAGTGAAACTCCGTCTCAAAAAAAAAAAAGGAAAAGAGTATATATATATATGGAACATACACATAATGAAATACCACGCAATTATTAAAAAGAATGAGGCTGACTGAAACATTGATATGACAGAGGCCAGGTATTTTCAGTGAAAAAACAAAGCAAGATGTAGACAAGTAAGCATAGCATGACTATTTGTGTAAAAAATGAGTATGTAGAAATATACGTAAAATTGTATATGCTCAGAAAATTTATGCAAAGAAACTTAACACGTGATTGCTTTTGGAGAGTGGTACTGAAAGCTAAAATATGAAGAATTTCTACATCTTACTCTATACCCTTCTACAATGTTTTTTTTAAGTGAAACATTTACTGCTTTTATAATGGAAAAATAGGGTTTATATAATATTTTAAAATGAATGTTACTGGAGGTAATGATAAGTAAACCCTATTTGATAGATATAAATTAATACAATTCACATATTTTACAGTTCATTATTCTTTCTTATAATCATTTTTGTGTCTATTTATAAATATTTGTTAAAAGACAAGACTGATAAACAAGATGCACCACAGAGGATGTAATTTCCAGAAGTCTAAAACTCCCAAAAAGTTACTTTAACATCATACTTTACTAAGTCACTGAGAAAGAGGTTCCTGTGCCTTTTATAAATCACCCTGAAACAACGACGGTTTCTACCTCAGAAGGAAGTGCAGGTCTCGACACCAATATGTTTCTATGAGCCAAGGCATCCAGGGGGACTACAGCAACAGTTAAGCATTCATGGAAAACTTGAGTACAATCAGCCTCTTATGCCTTCATGAAGCATTGGGCTTAAGCAACTTGGCAAGTTGGCTTCAGGATGCATTGACGATTAAAGGAAGTCAGAAGGCAGAAATAACCAGGAGGTGGGCAGAAGTCAAGGTTATTATCCAAAAATGATCTATGAACTTAAGAGATTCTTAGGAGCTTTTAGGACTCTAATACAGGAAAATATTCACATCTCTGAAGGAAAAGAAATCCCTTGGTCATATTCTGCATTATAGTTTGGAAAATACTCTAGAAATCTTATCCAACTGCTTCATTTTACCTGTTGGAGTGCAACAGATAAAATGCCAATGACAGGAATTCCACTGAAGAATGCAGGCAAATCAATATTCATTCAATACATTCAAATTAATATATAACTTTAAAAAGAGCCCTCACACCACAGTTAGGCCATTGTTTTTGCTTTCTTCTCCTGTTTGCCTTTCAGCTACCTTTATAAAACAGGAGAAAATGTATGACTCTTAACTGATGATTCCCTGCTTTATTATTCTAAAGCAAGCTCGTACGACCTGCGGCCTGTGGGCCACACGTGGCCCAACACAAATTTGTAAACTTTCTTAAAACGTTATGAGATTTTTTTCGTGATTTTTTTTAAAGCTCATCAGCTATCGTTAGTGTTAATGTTTTTGTTTGTTTGTTTGTTTGTTTGAGATGAGTCTTGCTTTGTTGCCAGGCTGGAGTGCAGTGGCACAATCTCGGCTCACTGCCCCCTCTGCCTCCCAGGTTCGAGCAATTCCCCTGCCTCAGACTCCTGAGTAGCTGGGACTACAGGTGTGCGCCAACATGCCCAGCTAACTTTTTGTATTTTAGTAGAGATGGGGTTTTACCATGGTGGCCAGGATGGTCTTGATCTCCTGACCTCATGATCCACCCTCCTTGGTCTTCCAAAGTGCTGGGATTACAGGCGTGAGCCACCGTGCCTGGCCAGTGTTAATGTATTTTATGTGTGGCCCAAGACAATTCTTCTTCTTCCAGTGTGGCACAGGAAAGCCAAAAGATTGGACACCGCTATTCCAAAGCATGTAACTTTATTCACAGAAAAGACTCTCAAGGATTTACCACCTAAAGTCATCAAGTGTATATCATGCAGATGAACAACAGAAAACACTGGAGTATTCAAGTAATTAAAAAACCTTTCAGCACCAACAGCAATTTCTGTCCTGATGGCAATCGACTCAGAGCTAGAGGACTGCGCTTAGGATATCAAGGGGAGATTAGGGTGCAAGAGCAGCCTGCACTAACGTACTCTGCATTAGTTTACTTTGTTTTACATTTCAAAATAGATGCTGTCCTTAGCTCGTTAAAGGGGAAATGCAGGCAAAATGTGTTTTAAAGGAATGTTTCTTCTCTGAAGCCATATTTCAGGGTAGCATGAAAACGGAGCTTTGGTTATCTGGTTCCATTCTATATGACACCTCATGCTTGTTTCAAATGACACCACAACCAAGGGGCAGGAATGAAAGGAATATGCTTTAAAAAAATGCAATCCTCTTTAGCAAGAGAGATCATTAAAATAGATACATGTTAGGATTTCCTGATAAGTTTCTTCTTCGTTCATGTGCCCTCCTCTGCTCACGCTTTGAACTACTGCCCCTGTCACACACACACACCCCTCCTCGGTTCTCAGTTCTCCAATAGAAGAGTATCCTTTGGGATTCCCGTCCACCAGAGGTCTATTTTTGCTCATTATTGTCAACACAATTTGCCTTCAAGAGTTTTCAGTTCCTCCTGCTATCCTATCATCACATTATGCATGTCAGAAAGCATTACAGATTTTTACTTTTTAAGAATCTGAACTCAGATTTCCAGGCTTCTGTCCTTCCTGTCCCATGCTGTTGACTCTCCCACATCTTTGTCTT